AGAGGCAGGTCTCTCGAACGAGTCGTCTTTCACTTGTACCAACCCAGACGTGTCCAGTTTACAATCCGTCTCGACCGGAGACGAGGCTTCAACCGCCAGACCCGCCGCCTTGGTTGCTAACCACTCCACTCCGACCAGTTGCCGACCACGGGCCGTCAAGCGAACGTACTCAGAATCCGTCCGACTGACGGACTCATGCAACGGCTGTAGATCCGCAGGCTTCAAGAGGCCCGTCAAAGAGGCGCCGGTGGGCAGACGAGACAAGCAGGAGGAGGAGGAGGAAGAGGAGGAGGAAGAGGAGGAAGAGGAGGAGCAGGAGGAGGAGGAGGAGGCGAAAGAGCGGAAAAGGGATCGCTTGTCGGCGGACGAGCCATCAAGACAGAACCGAAAGGGTACAGATGCTGAAAAGACGCTCCTACAAAGCATGCCGGTCGACGAGGACGGCGCTGCTATTAAAGACTCTTCTCAACCAGACGTCTCGACACGATCCAGCTCCTCTCCATCGCAATCCGGTCCGCCTCTCCAATCGGCCAAATCGCGACCCAACCATTGCAGTTCCCCCCAGCCCAGTCGAGAGGTTTCGGGTCGTCAAGCCTGTACCTACCCGCCGTGTGAACGTGTCTCCTCGGGCCTCCTGAGGGAGCAACTGGGCGTGACACGCCTGTTTGCCGATTGTCTGGTCGACGAGATGCCGCCAGTCGGCAACAGCCAAAACAGCAGCCTGACACGTGGACATGACGAGGCCGGTGAGACGGTGGCCATCTCTTCGCCCAATTCGACCTCGTCGCTGTCGGCCGGAGGACAGAATGTCAGCGGACAGAGCAATCCTTCTATTGGCGAGTTGGTCTACTCAGATCCACACCAGCAGAGTTCTGGCGACGAAGGGGACGAAGAAGATGCCGAGCTGGACATGTACGAAGAGGCGGATAAGTGTGTAGAAGAACAAAGGGAGGAAGGAAAGGGCGAAGGAGAAGAAGAAGAAGAAGAAGAAGAGGAGGGGGAGGAGGAGGAGGAGGAGGCGCAGGAAGAGGATGGGGGTAAAGGAGGAAAGCTGACAGAAACTTCTGCCGAAGAGGGCGACGAAACCAGAGGTTCTGATGGCTGGGACATGATGAGAACTCGAACTAAGCGCTACCGGACTATTATCGGTCCGGATCAACTAGAGCTATTGAACGCCCGCTTCCAGATTGACTCAAATCCCAGCCGGCGAATGATGGACAACATCTCAGCCGAGGTTGGACTGCCAAAGCGGGTCGTCCAAGTAAGCAAATATGAGCACACGGACAAGCATAAACAAGTGCATGCCCTTTCACATTCGAATGTATGCGAATGCTATAAAAACTATACGGGATATGTTAAACCCTATTTGGCTTAAAGTGATGTAGTTGACTTTTCCAACGAATTTCACATATGTATTTACCCTATTTCGTCTAAGATTATGAAGGACTGGTAGTAGAATTTTCCCACAATGATATGAGTTGAGCTGATGTTTTCCATTGAATTTCACATAGCCTTGCTTTCCCAAAAGTTGTTATCATCCAGACAGAAGTGGACTGCAGCTTCGACCTCGCATCGGTCTTATAAACACCCTCAGCGGGATTCAAACCGCGACAGTACAGGATGG